AGATGTTATATATGGAAGCTTGGAAAAAGATGCTGGTAAGAGTGATTTGAATCTACCCCTTATGATTCTGTAGGACTTGTTACTACAGAACATGGACAAGAAAAATGCCTATGCTGAAGGACCAAAATCTGACTCTTTTTTTCACACTGGGAATATCAGAAGCAGCAGCTGGCTAGAAAGCCTTAAATTAACTTAGGCTTGTGCTCCTTTGAGTTGGACTGACCCTGAAAAAGAGCACGAACGATGATCACCCAGAAAGATTTGAAATCTGCTGGAGACTGTCATCTATAAAATAGGACTCTGTACACAGAAATTTTCCCTGGAAGGAGTTGATAAGAATTCAAACCCATCAGGTAGTTCAAGAACAAACCGTTCCACTTAGGGGAAAGCTAGCCCGAATTATGACAAAACTAAATAAACTCAAGTCAGCCTGGGGAGTTCAGCCTCCTGCACGTTCCTACCCCTTCAAGTGCTCTTCATTCAGTCTCTTAATCCCTCTAGTAGAATGTCATATAGTTAGTCACTGCTCTTAAAGGGAGCCCATTGTTTACAGTTTAACCTACCACTAACAAGCCTAGAAAAGGGGAAAAAAATGGATCAGGACAAAGGGCTCCTGGATGGCTAAGGCTTCAGGGTCAGGCCACCAGAAAAGTCTTTATACAGAGCCTGGACCACTCTGCCTAACAGGAAGAAGGGTCTGAAATATACCTGGATTGCCCAAGCACATTAGGTTTAACTAAAAACTGAGACTGAACATGGACTGCTCTTGAGGTTCTGCAACAAACTTGTTACCAAACAGCTCATCATCCACCTACAGGTCCTTTGGCATTGACAAGACTGGTGCTGGGGGAACTACTTCCATACAGGACTTTGTTGAATGTTGTTCCTCTTGTGACACCACTCTTTGACAGAATGGCAAGCCACTGGCATGATGAGTTCTGAGACTCAGACATCACTGGCACAGACAGCCTAGAACTAGCAGAAAAACAGGTCAGATATATGACACGAACTCTGGGACTGCTGGGACATCTTCAGGTTTGAAGTTGTGACAAAATTCAAACATTTTCCCAAATATAGTAAGAAGTGTACATGTGAAGTGCACATATTGATGACATCTGAGGCTTCCATTAAATGCATTTACAAATATACTTTTTGATGTCTGTAATAAATACAGGTACCTCAAAAGAATGACTATATCCTTTGGAGAACCACAAAGAAGTTAATGAAGGCCAGGACCCAAGACACAAGCAAAACTTCAGTAATCCCTAAGTTGTTCTATCTATACTTCTATACGAATCAAGTTTCATTTAGCAACAAGAATTGTCAGCCAATAGACATTTAACAGGTATGCCTTTAATCTATCTTAAAATAGCAGTCTCAAATGTCAGTGTGTAACACTATGTACCACTCTTCCTATATCTCCATCACAGGCACAAGTGCAGTCTCAAGCTTTGTGAATTTAATACCACAGAAAACCTAGAGATTCACAGGCACTATTAATATGTCAGTTTTAAATCCACAAGTGAAAGGCTGCATTCACTTTGTGGTAACCTTACTATAGGAGAATTATTTCACCTTCCAATGACGTTAATGCTGGAAGTTAACAGCTTGACTAGAATTTGGAATTATATCTAGATGGTTTATGTGACTTGTTACAGCCATTGCTCCTTGTGATCAGTGGGGGAGCTCAAAGCCATTGGGATTCTAGAGAAGTCTCAGAGAAGAGACGTCCTCTGATCTAGCCCCAATTTGTACTGAGGGTTAGAATAACAGTTGCTAGAGCAGATACGTGAATGAAAATACAATATGGCTGACATCCCTTCATTTTTTTTCTCCTCTCCCTTTCAAGAAACAGAACACTTGCAAAGGGGAGAGCTGAGAAAGTACTAGCTGTACAGTATCTCTATGAAAGACATTAAGAACAGCATTAAAAATGGCACATCTAGAAGTATGCTAGTTTTAATGGCAGTTCTGACATTACAGCCAAACTGAACTGATTCTTTTAATAGCTTAATTACATATCAAGCTTTTTAAAACAGCTTATGGGAGCATGTATTAAAGAACTAGAGAAATTTCTAGCCTTGTTGTCTAGTTTTGTGTCTAAACAAGCAATTTGATCACACGCATCTCTTTCTGCCATAGTACAGACATACATCACACCAAACATTAAACCAGCAGACCTTCCTTTGAAATACTCTAAGCAGAATGTTTGAGGAAAGACCAATTATCTTCTGGCTCCCTTCCACACTAAGAGAACCTCACGTTGGACTCATCCTGGGTTTTGTCATGCTGTCTTCATTTCAACGCTGCACATTGAGGTATTACAGTCGCATACCACTGGGCAGCCTAAATTTCTCGGCAGATTTCAATACAGCCGCATTTAAACAATAAATAACAATATTCCTTTGATTTAGACCCAAACATTCCTAATTGATTACACAGACAAATGGATATGCAAAAAGTGGACTTATTACCTCTCAGAATCTCTATTTGGATATGATCTTGCAAGTGGTGATACTGCATGGCTAAGAACAATGTAGGCATAATCAAAAACTTGTTTCACTTGCATGGCACCGTAAGAACTTCTGCCAACGTCGTTTCCTGAAATAATGTGACAGTCATCAGATCATCTTTTTTTAATATCAGTAACGAGAAAATTATTCATACTTAAAGCTCAGAAGCCTTAACAATACAGTTTAACTCTGCTTAAACTCGTTAGCCAACCTACTCATATCAGGAACAACTAAGCGTGCCCATCTCAATGAAAGACGCTAACCTTAGGAATGACACTTAACATCATGCATTCAATTTACCACTTTTAAAATACCAATGTACCAGCGCCTGAAAGAAACAGAGAATAGAGATCAGCTTAAAGCTCTTATAGCTGTCTTTTAAGAGGGAACCTACCAAGCTTAAAGCATGTCTCACTTACCAGTAGAGTTTCTGCAGGCCAAATTCAGCTTAAAATTCCACTTGTGCAACCACATTATCTTCATAGGGCCAGGTATACTTACATCAACCCCTACTTAACCTTATCAAAACTACAGATTAATAAACCAGCTCATACAGATTATTTATCTCCACAGGATAAACCAGTTTGTCAAAATCTATCATAGAGGATTCCAGAAGTTTGTACAGCATTGTTTTCTGATCAAGTTAGTGGCACTTCTTGACTGCCCCTCTAAGCATGAGTGACATTTATAGCAGAACTCCTTCCAAATCCAGTGCCATGTGTGAGGAACTGCAGAAGTTAAGAACATGCTAAAGCTTCTGTATCGGTGACAATGTACAAGCATTGGTCTCCCATTTGACACCTGGAAAGGTCTTGCTATTACTAGCAAGAAGAAACATTTGGGTTTTTTTGGTAGATATATTTGGCACCAGACACCAAAGGTTCACAGTCACCACTCAGTTCAAGAAACAAAGAAAACTTCCTTAAAATTTTATGTCTAAAATACAGACTACGTCTTGAGTGGGTAGAAAGCTGCTTACAGTAAAAGGTTCCCTTCTTCAGAATGATGCTTGAAATGCTGTGAGAACACTGGAAAGGGACAAAACACTAAACATGTTTCTTTTAAGCTTGAAAATCAGATGAGAGCCCATGAACAGGTTTTAACAAAAAATCTGCTTTGAAAATTGATGCGTAAAGGACAGAATCTATCCTTGCAAGGACTGAATCCAATGAGGCCGCATTAGACTTTAGAGGAACCTTCACTCAAAGTATTTTGTCCAGCAAGTCGTTATAGACAAACATGCTGAGGTCTGCCATCCAGGGGGAAAAAGAAAAACAAAACAACAGCCTTCGCTTTACTACTTGACAACACATTTTAGTCCTTCAAGATTCTCCAACCATAATGCCACTTTAACAAAAAAGCATAATCAATGAAAACAGACTGGGAACATAAGAGCATCTTGGGAACACAGAATTTCTTCAGTAATTTATATGGTCAAATAAAAACTGATCAAGAAATACTTCCTGTTTACTGAAGTAACTGAGTATCTTGTTCTGAATGCACCACTGCAGTATCCAGCAGCTACTGGGCTCAAAATTACAGAAGCCTCTCTAAATGGCATATTTGCAATTGGACTCTATCCTGAAGTAGAAGCAGAGACCAATGTGGGCCTAGGACAGTCAATCTAGGAAGAAACACACTGTAATTAAGTTCAGAGCTGCACTACAAAGTAGCAGAGGACTTCAGAAAGGACTGAGTCCAAAGGCACCTGAATACAGACCAAGGTATTTCAGTGGTCAAGAAAACAGAACACATAAATGTTCATTCTATTAGAAAAACAATGATTAATTCAATACAGGTTTTCCAGGCGCAGGATGCATTGTTGTCTCCTGCAACAATGCCACCTTCCACATAATGACATGCTAAGCATATATACAAAAGAGAATTAAATTGGGAAGCAGCACAGAAATGGAATATATACAAGTGGCTAAACACACACAATTGCACCTACCACTAAATTTGAGCCCATCTATGGTTGGACTCAATCTTAAGGGTCTTTTCCAACCTAAATGATTCTATAAATTCACACAACAGGAGTTAAGAATACACACTCAAACAAAATTGCATTCATTTAGTCTAGTCTGCTGCTAAGGCAGCTACATTTGACATGCATCCTGCATGGAGTTACACTAAAATGAAGACACTGCTGCTACAAACTGTTGGTTACTCCTTTTGTCAGTTGTTGTCACCTCCACTGTTGTGCCAGCAAAAAAAGTCATAAACCTTCCCTAATCCACTTACGGCAAACTCAGGCAGTTTAGTTTAAACCACCAACGAAGTTGTGTATGAGTCTTGATTGAAGCAGATTTGAGAACAGAGGCAGGATAGCTCATGCCATAGCATGCCTAGGTTCCTGGATTGCCTCATTCTGGACCTGTAATTAGTTCATAAAAATGTCTGAATAAACATGTCTTATTCAATTATACAGTCTGCAGAGCTTCTCACTTGCACTGCAGCTGAAAAGCAGGTATGGAAGCCAAAGCTACTACGCAAGCTACTGTACCAGTCAAGTCTGTATAGAAGTGGCCCTACCCAATCCAGAAAGCAATATATTAAAGAAGTCAGAAGATCACATATTTGCATTTGCTGTCCTGAGTAGATTTTCTTCTGAGAGATTATTCTCACTAGCAGATCACGTCTTACATACCTGAGCATCCTCCTTTTGTCACAATCTACAGACTGAGCAGTTAAAGCACGTAACCCAAACGCTCTCACTCTTTAAAAAAATAATACAGACTTCAATCCTCAGATGTACATTAGTAGATAACAATGGTGTGTGATTTCATGTATAATTCAATCCTCATTCTTTCTTACAAAGCCTTCATCCCTAAAGGAGCACGTCAGATTTCCATCACTCGCTATCAGTATTACCACTCCATCAGGTAACCTTCCATTACCTGAAGCAGTTCTAAGAACATGGCGTGGAAAGGTAAAGGTAAGACCACGAGCTAGGACTGAAGCAGATCCATTTATGTTAAGCTATTATTAGCAAGTACCTTTTCGCAACATTCAGCCTTAAAGGGGTTCTTTCAGATGTTGACTTCAATGTATTTGTCTATGTCCTGGTTTCAGCTGGGCTAGAGTTAATTTTCTTCCTAGTAGCTGGTATAGTGCTGTGTTTTGAATTTAGGATGAGAATAATGTTGATAGCAACAACTAAAACATCAGTGTGTTAAGTAGTGCTTACACTAGTCAAGGACTTTTCAGCTTCCCCTGCCCTGGGGAGTTGGCCAGGGGGCAGTGATCACTGCTTGGGGACTGGCTGGGCGTCACCCAGCAGGTGGTGAGCAATTGCATTGTGCATCGCTTGCTTTGTATATTATACTATTATATTATCATCATCATTATTACTACTACTACTAACTACCACTCCCCCTCTTCTATTTTATTTTACTTCAATTACTAAACTATTCTTATCTCAACCCAGAAGTTTTCCCACCTTTACCCTTCCAATTCTCTCCCCCTATCCCACCAGGGCAGAGGGGAGTGAGCAAGCAGCTGTGTGGTGCTTAGTTGCTGGCTGGGGTTAAACCACAACAGTGTATTTTTATAAATGCCTATATTTTATACACACACACATATTTGCAGGTTGTCATGACAAACAGCAGATATTGAAAAGCTGCAATGAATAACTTTGGGCAGCCACTGAGGCTACAACATGTAATCCCAATAGTTGTTGCCAATCTCAAATCTAATTACTTCCTGTATTTGTGACCTATCAAGATGCAGAAGCAAGCAGCGTGAAGCATAATTAGTCCTGCAAGTTAGAGCCTCTTTTCAAAGAAATGCAATGAATTTAAGGTTTAGAGCTTTTGTTAGCACCCATAGCAATTCAGAGTGAAGAACAACCTTTCTCATGAAGAGAGCAGCGCAGGTGGAACTCCAAGTCTTAAACTGTGATTTAACTACTCTTGCCACTGCCAATCTGAACCAAGATCAAAACCATTCCTGTTCTTAGCATCAGAAGTGACTGAAGGACCTTGATAATCACCTGATTCACAAAGGCATAAAATAATAAGCTTCCCTAACAATCTGCTGAATAAATGCCAAGTTTGTTTTGCAACCACAGATTAAAGATTTGTCACTTGCAACCAGAGTCTTATCTTCCAAGACAAGATACTGCTTGACCAACTCTGCACAAACCTCTTCTAGGATGATGTCATTGACCCTGCTCCAACATGTTCCTGTGAACAGACTTCTGAGTGCCTGGCTTCACAGTTCTCCTAAATGAATGCTTTCACTTTTTACACATCAAAGAAAGGACAAATACTTTGAGAAACTGAAATGGTGGCAGGTATAAGATGTTTATAGAAAACCCCTTCTTTGAATGATGCTAAGGGAAAGACTTTCATCTCATTACCCTGTCCTAGGATACTAACTCAAGGTGAAGAATCTTAGGCTATGTATGAAGATCAAGTATAAACTACTACTTTAAAATGCATCACTGGCTAGATTAGTCTGACACCTCAAATCCAAATTTCAACATACTTCCCATTTCAGCTGTAGACTCCTAACATCTTTGTTGGAATCTTGGTTCTCAAATCACAGAATTTATAATCCTCTAGCACCCAATAATCAGTCTTGGAGAATCTCAGAGGAAACCCTACAGCACCCAGGAGAATCTGAGTAAAACCCACAAAACCAGCAACACAACAGGTTGATGCCTGTGCCTTCCAAATCTAGGAACTAACAGAAAACACTGAGCAGGTAGAACTGATCATATCCTTCTGATGACATCATTTATCTGTTAGCCAGACATCACCATTTCACACTGAAGAAAAAAACAGTTCCTCCAATTAAAAGAACTAATCCTACTGAACTTAATCCTGTCCCCTACAAGACTATCTAACTTATTCTTACGAATTATACCTTTCAGCATCCTGTTGCTGAACTAGCGTATAGACTCATAGGAGGGACTTTTACACTACGTGGATAATCTTGAGAAACTGAAAGGCTTTTTTTCATTCCTCTACTTTTTGTCTGATTTCTGGATTAAGAAGTCATCTTTTGAAGTCTTCTTCCAAGGCTTAACCAGAACTTTAGAGAAAGATGTGATCAGGCTAAAAAAGGACCACAAAAAAAAAAGATGTAAAACTTGTGCATACAGTGCAAGAACAGGTTTGATGGAAAAAATTTAGCATAAACTGCTGCAGAGTAAGTCAAGAAACATCTGTGTCCACTCTTTACCAAAATACTTCCTCCCATCTCCTCCACAGTACTCGTACTGACCCTCATGGACTTAGACACTGAGTGGATCTGAACACAAACTAATCAAGCAGAGACCATGACTTGTCAACTGGGCAAGGACCTGAACCCTTGCAAAAGGTTTTTTTACTGGGACACAAGCAGTAACAAAACTAAACTAATTAACAGAATTCTAGACATTATCTACATACATGACAGGTACTTTCAGATACTGTAGGAATATGTGATTAAGTCTAGATCTAAGGAGGCTGTATTCATGAGATCCAATTCAAAGAGCCATCCTATATGTTCTATATAATTTTCCTCCTAGTTCCATCAGGCAAGTTCTGAAGCTCTGCAGTAGCCACCAGAAAATATCCCTATGGGACATAGTGGTCAGATAACTTCAAGTTATTGTCAGCTTTCATTTGCCTTGCTAAAACACTTTCTCTCCTGTAAGAATACATTCTGTCAGCCCACATAACCTCCTCTAAAATTTAATTCTTATCAACTCTTTGACAGCATGTAACTAGATATCTTTCTTCTAAACTACAGTTCTTTGCTTTTGCAAGATTTATGCTAGGAGGAACAGTTCAGAGCCCCTACTGGACTTGCAATTTATTTTTCTTCTCTTCTCTGAAGAGTCAAAGTAAAAAAATTCAGCTACTGAAGGAAATCTCAATAACGCAATGAAAGTTCTGCAAAATCACACCTATGCCTGGCCAAGTGCAAGAGTCACCATGGACAAACTCAGAGCTACAAACATATCAGAGATGTGGTTAGACAAATGAGTATCTTAGCTTGCAACCTGTTGTAGAGAACTACGAACATTCAGCGTATCGAGTATTTACAAAGGTGCCAGACTTCAGCTCCTGATCCATGGTATTTGCTTTAGAAGTGCTGTACATAAGCAGTCTACCCACAAGACGTGACAGTATGGAGTTTGAGTGCCAATTACATTCTAGAAATACTAATGCTGAAGTCCAAATTAACTGAAAATTGACTTTATTAAAAAGCTGTTTTGGAATTTCAGCTACTTGTGACAGTCTAAATAGAATCCAAACTGAGTACTATAAAGCGGGAATTTTTTTTCAGAAGCTCAGCCAAAATTAATCTTGATTACTTCAAAGGTTACTGAATCAAAACCAAATCTTAAAGAAAAAAAAATATTTTAAGTTAGTTACTTTCAAAAGTACATGCAACTATAACTGGCATTCTCTAAAGGTCCCTGTGCAGCACAGAAGCCAGTTATGCAAACCACTCTTCACACCAACACCGTAATACAGATGCTCCCTTGCTACATGTTCATGGATATACACTCATGTTTCTGTGCAGTCTTTACTGCACCACCCTGCAGGACAGGTGCCTCATTTGGGGCATTTCTTTCCCATATGGTACAATTTATCTGAAGTATGGCACCACGGACCATGGCGGGAAAAGCTACACCTTCCATTCTCATTCTCTCATAATGAACAACAGAGAGCTGCTCCTACTAACAAACCCCCTTTCAGGGTTTCCTGGACCTTTCTTTCACTACCCCTCAGCACTGTTAGAGAATCTTATTATACACTCAACACAGTTCTGAATCTCCAATGCATTATGTATCTGCACTGTTTGCGTGCAATCCAATTTACTCAGGCTATGAATCTTGGGAGACTTCAGGTCCTTATCCCTTAGCCCATCTCCATAACTGGACCTCGACAGCAGCAACAGTCTCTTCTCAGTGCAGCTTCTTAACTCATTTGAGAGACTTATGTTAGAGTCCCTAAAGCTGTGAGAGCACAAGTTGAGCCAGAGTTGCAGAATTTTGCAAGAAGTGTACAATCTTACCAGGCAGGAGAGGATCTTCAATACATAGCATGGATGGTCTGTATCCATTAGTCATGACTTTCATGATTTCTTCTTTGGCAATATAGGCACCTCCATTTTTTATTCTAATACCAGTTTTCAAGTAGTTAAAATTCCTTCCATAGAGTTCAAAAAATTCTATCAGAAGCATTCCAAGGTTTTCATCAGCTCTTCTGGCATCAATTCTTGGATGCAGCTATGACACAGAACAGTTAATTATTAAAAATTAATGCTTTTCAGACCATAACACAGTGCAACAAAAAGCTCTCATTTAAACAGCTGAGTATAATCTCTTTACACAAGTGAATTCAGTCATTAATTCTTCATGTACTTAAACTACTTTCACATAACCAAGAGGGGGCAGCACTTCAGCAGTATCTGGAAGCCAAGGAATTCTTTCTTCCCTCCCCTTTCAGCTTTGTGAGGATTAGTAAATTCTCTTCCCTAAGCCAAAAGCAATAAAGAAGTACTGCATACTACATTACGGCTTAGTACCAGTAATACTTGATTTTTCACAGAAACTCCATCGGTCTTAATGTTTTCGGATGCAGGGTGGGAATCTATTTACCCCAATTGAAATACAGTTCTTTTCTCAATCTCCCCATATTATATGCTGTATGTAAAATCTACACTAACATTTCAATTAATCATTAACAGCAGCAGAATACTTATGTTTTTCCATTATCACAGCTGCTGAGAGATGCTAACATTATACCTCATCATACTCGTACAAGCTTACTGTCACAAAAATGTATTGGAAGAAGTTATAACTCATTAGCTATTTCATCAGTTACCTACAATCTCTACCAGTTTTAAGTACGTCAAAACCTAACCTACATATAATTAAAAAACAGCTTGACTGATTTCATAATTTTAATAAACACTGCAATCAACTACTCTGCACATTCATTAGCAGTAGTCTAGAAAGCAACAGGCTTAAACTGCATCCTGGCAGATTTACAAAACACCAGTAAGTTGACTCAGGTACTAGAGCAGGCTGCTCAGGAACCAGAATCCACACCACAGGCCCTGGTATAGAAAGCAATGCACAGCCTCTATGCTGTTCACAAGGCTCCTGCTGCTGTTTCAGTTCACACAGTGAACAGAAGTTCTTAGAGGTTTGAGAGGTCATCCATAGAAGCTGCCAATGATCAAAACACCTAGAGCCGTAACTGTAAAGCTGTGCATCACTAGGGGAGTCTAAAGAAACAGCACCATAACAGGGCATAAGTACAGAAACCAAAATATTTTAAAGAACACAAACAACTAAGGAACAGACTTACCTGCAGGAAACTAATTGCCATTAAAATTAGGCTGTAAGAGCTAATTCCACCAGTAAAAACTTCATTCAAGTCCCTCTGAAGGAGGAACTGTTTTAATACTAAAATCAAGTAAGGCAGCAAAGAATATTTCTGCAAAGTAAAATGAGTCTTATCAATGACAACGTCAACATTCCAAAACAAAGAAAGAACTACACAATCTCAACACAAAGATACATCTTCCAATACAAAAATGTTATTCAGTAGCGTGCTATAAAGTGTTTCCACAGGAAGAACCAAAACATGCATTTTTTTAATTCTAGAAACAGATTAATAGACTTCACTCTTATTTGATCAAACTTACATATCAAATTCATCCCCCCCGCCATAGGAAAGATTTTTATATCCTTCTTTGAATGCTAGTGTCACTCATTATAGTCAAAGCTTTCCATCTAAACAGTGCTTTTACTGCAGAGCATAAAAGTAAACTTGATTTTAAATATGTAGCTACAGAAGAATTGTTTTTAGACATTGTTTAGCAAGATAGCATTCACAATATAGCATCACTTAAATTCAAGGTAAGCAAAACTTGAACAGACTTGCTTTAGAAGCAAAATTTAGTACCTATCTGCAGATCTAGATATGATTGTAGAAGTCCGTTTAGTGTACAGGTTTATCCACACAAACACCTAGCACATGAAGGCAAGACTGAATAGATACCAGTAGAAAATAATTTAAAATATCCATGTTTAATTAGTATTAATGAAAATAGCCTTCAGCAATGCATTTTCAAAAGTCTTAAGCCATACCAAAAAAAGGTTAGCTAGGCATCTACACATCCTTGGTAAGCAGTATAACATTCATTATATGGCTGATACCTTCATGTATTCCTTGATAAATCGAGCTGCCTTCACACCAGTTTCTACATTAAAACTGATGTCAACTTTCACTTCTGTCTCCTGGTCAGTAAGTTTTATTATTGGTACCTAAAAAGATTAAAACAAGGTTTTATGAATCCCCAGAAATGCAACACTGGTGCTGTTCTCCAGCTTGCTCACTTAAGACACATGGATACTATCAGTTCAAATGAATGCAACTATCAATACAAGGAAACGTGTTTTTGAGAAAAGATAACAATTCTAACTTGACTGACAAGCAAACAATTTTTAGTGAGGTGATTAAAAACACAGGCATGTATGATCACATTAACTTATGATCGCTCTTGTACTCTCCCACAACTATTAGATATCTGCCTTCATAGCTGCAGTATCTGAGTTTTGTAAGACAACTAAATTTACTTAATTTAATGACTCCCTGCTGTTAACAGGAGACATTCTACTCATAACCTGTGGGAACTGTATTCATCTGACCCACTGCACCGTTCACTTGCTAAACTGACAGAAGACTAGCCTAGCAGAAAAAAAAATAAAGCACTGTCTGTTGGTTTATCAAGCTGAACTGGTTCACTGCAGAGTCAAACAAAAGTCAGAATGGATAAAAGCAAAGCAGGAGTAGCAGTACTTCCTCTTCTGGCAGCAATAAATTATTATAGAACTGAATACATAGTTCAGTCTCACACCACCACCGTGAAGGCAGTATCCTACAAAACCATCTTACAATCATAACCTAAACTTCAGCTGATAACATTTATTTTAAATTGAACTTCTTGCATTTTTAATCTGAAATGGAAAACAAAAAAGAGCAGAAGTATAGCATCATTTTATACCGACAGCAGAGGGAATAAAATAAGAAAGGCTAGTAAAATTGATAAGCCTAGCCTAGTGCCATTTTCCATCACTGATTCTGTAAATCCGACTCATTCTCAGGTAAACCAAAGATCACCAGAGCTACTGTTATGTACTGCTACTCCAACAGAAGCCATAGAAATCTTCTGGACCTAAAACAGTCACTCTATTTCAGAGACCACAAAATGTAACAGCTTGCTAATAGAAGTTTGGACTAATAGAAGTAAGACTTTGCTTAGTCTCCTGGAGAAAACACCACTTGCTCAGTAACAGCATTCTCAAACATAAGTTCTCATAAGCATATTCAATGTGATCCATTAGGGTTACAAGACCAATGCAAGAAATACTACACATCAGTTTCACAAATGACAAAGCTCTTAAGCAGCATATTTTGGAAGGGAAAAACAAATGTTAGGTTTGGAACACTTTACTATGCCACCAGAAACAAGACAACCTGAAAAATCAGGGTTTCAAGCTAGTCAGCTCTAGTTACTGGCCCCTGGCTAAACAAAGTCCTCTCGAAGGTCAGTGGAAAAACATTATACAAATAGTTAACTTATTTTACCAGATATTTTGCAAATAGTGACTTTCAAATCTTTATTGACAATATAAGCATAAAGTACGGCCTTCCAGCAAATACAGTACACAGAATTAGCATTGTCCATGTAAAAAACTGTGTGCTATTGCTAAGCACATCCAGATTCTACTAAAATCTTGCACAGACAGAGCAAAATATTGTGCTTAAGACAATATCATTTGCTTCATGAATTAAGAACACTACTTATCACCAACAGCTTAAGGGGTCTGAAAGCTTTTCAGTTCGGTATTCCAAAGACTATTACTTACCGTAGCTTTATCAAGTACTTTAATGGAATACGGCTCAGCCACATTGTGTTTCCTCAGTGCTTGCTCCAGCAGCTGTAAAGGGGGCCGTTCCCATTTCCCAAAAACAACTAGATCAATATCACTAGACAAAAAGATGACAGCATGAGATCCATTAAGTCTAAAGCATAATCACTGAAGAAAATGGTAAAATTGGCATTCTACATATTACAAGTCCTCCAGGGTGACCATTTTGCAACTTTTAATCTAGGTTGCCAATAGGCTTCCTTTAGCAATGTTAAGTAAGAAATGGTCTAGTGCGCTTTAGGACCCAAAGTAGCATTCTAGTTTCTTGCTTCCAGTTAGAGTTCTTTGAGCTCGTCTCCCTTTTACCTTTCTTGCTCCCTCCCCTCTGACCTCCACAGCCCAATCCCATCCCTCACCTACCCATGTTAACAGGCATGTTAATAGTCCAAACATTTTTTATCAGTGATTGTTATTCATAGAAATGAAACTTCCAGTGCTTTCCTACTGAAAATTTAATTGATGGAAAGACAACATAGTCTTTAAGACATAGCTACACAGATTTTCCACATTCACCTATTGAACCATTAAGTGATATAAGACACTGAATTAAAGACATTTTGCTTTCCAAAAAAATAGGAAAACACAGCTGCGATGACTCCTCTGACTTTGCACAGTAACTCTGTGCAAAGTGACACACACTCAGTAAGTCACATTATTTAACAAAACACAATCTTTACACAGGAAATACTAAACATTGTTTCACTGTATCTTGAAAACAAAGAGCCAAAGACTAACCCCAGACACAAGGAGGAAAAGGTAATTCACCAAAGGCTCAGTAAGTCCCTAAAGCAGTACAATGATATATCAAATACTTACCTCAAATCTGTAAGTTCAAAAACTCTTCCCTTTGTCACATGGGACATTAGGCAAGAATTTTACTGAAAGTAAACCTACTGATAGGTTTACACATTCCAGTCTAAATTCCCCTTTGAAATTTACCATTACTCTAAAGGAAGACAAGCTTTTATATAAAAAGTAAATTATTACTTACCTAGTTGGAAGATAAAGCCCTGTACTAAAGCTGCCAAATATCTGGACCTGAAAAAAACCCACACCAGTGAAATATCTTGTAATTATGAATGCTCACTTCATTTTATTTTCACAAGACTTAAGAGTTTTTTGGACCTGTTAAGGATATAGCCCAGTAAAAAAGTTATTGAACTTATTTTACTACATAGTTTGGTAAGCCTGTACAAATACACTTTCTCTTCTAGATACAACTTTAGAGGAAATTGGGGTTTTTTACCATGAAACAACTACCAATCTTGCTAGCAGCAGAGCACAAACTTTTGAAACAAGTCTTTTTCACTATTTATTTCCAGTTCGACAGAAGTATAAGCTGTTACAGATTTCCTTCCTTCCTGCTCCCTTCTTTCCTCATAAGACAGCTTTACTGAAATTGGAAGAGTTTAAGGGAAACATCTATCCAAATTTTTAGGTTTAAAAAACAGCAAGTACATCTAAACATGTAATTCAGATAAACATGAATACTCCAGATTTTACTGTAAGGATTACTATGAAATTGTGGTAGGTGTTTGTGTGTGGAAAAGAAGGCATGCTGAAGAGACATTCACCATCCACATCAAATATTTTTAGTATGCCCCCAATCTAGAGAATTGAGATGTTCTTCCCCCTCTGCTATAGCAGAGCACAATTTAGAAGTTCACCTCTTTCAAGTGACCTATGAAAAGGCTGCGCAACACTGGGCCATTTCAGTGTTTGTATCTGTTCCCACAAACTAGAAAAATGTTATTACTGAGGAAAATCATAGGTGAGGATGAAGTAGATGAGCTTTACAGTATCTTTAGCTCAGTACCGTGGCCACAGCCCTCACTCTGTCATGGAACGCTATGAAGTCACAGCAGTCTGAAATGCTTCTCTGCTTGTTAATGACAACATTACTATCTGGTAACTAGAAAGGTGATGCTAGAGATACAGTTTACATTACATTCCTTTTGGATGTTTTTTGTTTGGAGGAAACTTACTCTTTGAGTAATAAAGGGTTTGAAAATGCAACTTTGGTTGCAAGCTATCTCAGGAAGTCACATCCAATTTTCTCACTAAAGCAGGGCTAAAGTGAAGGTCAAATTTGTGAAGACTACAAAAAACCCATGGGTTTTAACTGTTTATTTTGTAAAATGTTTGTATTTACAAATATCCACAGACTCAGGACTCCTTGCAGAAATAGATACATAGGTAGTCACTCTCACTTTAATATTCAAAATGAAGTTATGAAGAGACAATCAGTTTAATAAGCTTTTACTTTAAGAAACACACTTCTTAAAGTGGACAGTTCTTCACATCCCCAGTTCTCAAAATGAAAAAATATCAGTGGCCTTCATTAACCCGAAATCTAGGTTTTAAATTTCCTCCACTTTTTAAAATAAACTGCCAAGTACTGAAGAGCTGTGATATTAAGTCAATTGCCTTAAGTTTGAAGTCTTATCTGTTCATTTCTAGAACACAAAGATAACAGCAAGGTTAAGTGAACTGAGCTCTACAATTTACTAGAGAAGCAAATCAACACCTAAATCACACTCACATCAGCTGTAGGCCAAAGATCTTTGATGACTGTTTCTATCCTTTTCACCACTTCTCTTCTCATAGCTGCTTCTTCAGGACGAGGGGACATGAAGTCATAGAAGTCAATTATTTCTTCATGTAGTCTAAAGGAGAAAGCATCATAATGACGATTTAATTATTACAATAAATTTCAACACAAACAGGCCATAGGCTTTATTTAATATCATCATTTAACCAAAAACAACAGTACTTTCAAGAAAGGTGAATGCCACAAGTTAGGCTTTCATATGGGAAACTGTGTTTGGGATCTGGGATAGATACATTCATACTTTATTTTCATGGCCGCACGTCACAGTAATCTCAACAATACCTACACATCAGCCCTCATCACTTTACCTAAATGCTAAAGATGTCAAAAGACACAGGACACAAACACTAATAGATATTTACTAACCTTCTTATTGGTTCAACAGCAAAGGTCAAATTCAACTCCTGATTCCCAAAGACTTTCTTTAAAAAACAAAGCGTAGTCTTAAAAACTACACATTGGTCCAAATGTGAAGCAGCACAAGAACAATTAAAATCTTCAAGCAGGTTTATTCTTCCAGGGGTTCTTACTTCTGTGTATGTGGAAGTTTACACAGACTTGGAAACAGGCCACTGGCCTTAATGGGTTTTGCAAAGGGTGATAAAAGGGACATTTGAGTATTCCTTGATGTGAAAATGTCCACTTTGACCAACAGGGACTCCGTTGACCACTCAAGCCCTTTATTAGCCATTCATTCATATAGGAAGTGACCTTCCAACTGAACTACTCAAAGTGGGAAGTGTTAAATATACTCTCAAGTGTAAAGTACATTAATACCAGTGTTACATGAGGAGTTCTGACACTGGATCTTTATACATCTTTTAAGTCCTTTTGTTTCCTATCTCCTGATACTATAGAACACGCGCTGCGAAATTTGAAAGACCAGTTTGAGTTTTCAGGTTAATGTCATGCTTGCTTTCAATGGAAAAGCATCAAGCCATGCCAATCAAAGACAAAAAAATGCAAATAGCTACTGCTATGATATTTTACAAAACCATCTTTTTGATGTTAACATATTTCTAAGATTTCTCTCTCATTCAAGAAGCATATCAATTCAACATTGTAGTGAAATCCAAATACTGTCCTAAAAAAAAAAATCTGGTTCAATCCTTGATTAACATACTTAGCCTTCCAAAAGGAAAATTTTATACATCTCTAGTAGAACTCTTAACTCTTTCCTTGAGACTTTTGCAATTCATTTTACTAGAGAATTCCCACTCTAACAGATAGCCTCCAACAGACCATATGCCCAATTTTTAAGTGTCAAGATTCCTTTCCATACACAAAGAGATTTTAGCAGCAAAGCACAAAGATACTTCTAAAAAGCATACATATTTAGAATTGTTTGCCCTTTCTGTTAACTGGGCCTGGATCCACAATTGAACATTTACCTACACAGCAGACTTATCAACTAAACATTTCCATTTGTTGATGAGTCTGCTTGATTTCAAAACTTCACAGCAAGACAAAACACAACCTAACACACTCCTATTTTATTTTGTTTCTATAAAGTGTCCTTTTTTATCCCTTTTCCAAGATGGCAAGACCAATGAAGAAAATACCTGAATACACCTAACAGAAGTGAGGCCAAACTAAAGACTTCCCATTGTTCTACTTATAAAAATCAGCAGTAGGCAGATACAGAGTGAAAGCAAGAACACAGCAGTAATCTAACTCCCTCGCAGCAATCGTCCCAAGCCTCCAGTAACTTAATCTGGCATACTTTTCAGGTGGATCCCAACCATAATGTGTATTAGCTCAAAGGACTTTTCTTCCACTGATTTTTTCCAAGTCTTTTTAGTCTATTTATGCTTTTGTCATTCATGGCATTCTATGAGAATTTAAGTATGCATCAGAATAAAGAAGTACTTTATTTTAAACTGCTGCCTGTTAATGATTCTATCTGATGCTCTTTTTCTTGGGGGGAAAAAAGTTATTACTGACAGTTCATCTCCAAACGTAACACTTCTGAGGCTCTCAATTCATATCCACTTGTCTCTATCCACCAGCAATTTTTCAAGCTAGCAATCCTCATCTGTTTTTCTCTCCTTACACAGGAGCAGGTCCAAAGTTTGATCACTGCTAACCTTCTTCAGGTTGTTTTCAGTTGCACCATGTTTTGTGACAGGTGGCCAGAAATGCACACAGAGTCAATACATAATTACACTATTCAGTGCAGGACACACACCTTTTTTCATTTTATTGTCCATGTCTTTGCAAAGATTGCTGCTAACTGCTATTTGAGGATATCTGAGCATACAGCTGCTCTTTAAAAGCAACCATTTATGAAGGAGCTTCAAGGTGTTTTCTGAGCAATAACCACCAACATAAAGCCCACCCACTGGGTATATTCAGCCTGAATTATTTTAATTCATATTCATGATTCCATATTTACTAGAATTTAATTTTACCAGCAATTTTATAACCTAATGAACAATGAACTCCCACTGCAACTGTCCGCAGGCAGCTCCAGCTTTCTATTATCTTTTCTATCCTCTTCTCATTCTTTTTTTCCTTCCAGGTATTTATGAATATATCAAGCAACAGTCCTGAGTAATTTCGCTGGTAACCTTCCCTTATTATAAAGTAAATAGTTTATTCTTTCCTTTGGTTACTTCTAAGCAGTTAACCCATAAGCCCAACAAACCCGTAACTGTTCAGTTTTTACAAAGTCTTCAAAAAAGAATCTCAGAAGCATTCTTCTGAAAAATTCCAGCAGTTCTGTGTTATCAGACTAATCGCATGAATAAGGATTAACAATGAATCCTTCATGAAAATGAGACCTGTGAGACACAACTACCTTTATGAAAGCATGCACGAGCCCCTTTCTTTATGTTTACTCACACAAATAAGTTCTGTTTTGTTACGGTTATCAACCCCATCCAACCACTCCAGGAGATCCAGACATTCCTGAAAAAATTCATTTACAGTAGCCATCCCATGTTAGGGAAGGAGTAGAATAAAAGGGGTCTCCATTCCCCTGTGCACTGCGGCCTCTACCATATACAGCACAGTCCTTCAAAAGCAGCCCCTAGTGTGTCAGCAAGGTCAGAAAAACAGCAAGCACACAAGCACTCTCTCATTTCAATGCCCCACTGAGTTTCTGTTCAGATGATTAACACTGTCAAAATTCTTAATGATATCATGAAAGACTCAAAAGAATACCACCCATCACTAGTCCACATTTCCTTCCTTGATCTACTTTTAAAGAAGTTAGCTTCATATTTTCTACCTTGCACTGGCAAGGCAGCACTTCATTTAATGCTTTAGTTTGCATGGGACAACAGCACAAGAGCTAGATAATCAAAAATCATTTAAAGTTCAAACCATACACCATGGTTTCATGGTTAAATTCCTCTGGAATTCTTCAGCATATACTACCAGACATGGCTGTACAACAGTTATTCTGCTGATGGATTTACTCCTTACTGAAATTAAAATGACAGTTCCCTGGAATCAAAGAAAGTTCTGGGGAGAAGTGTCTTAAGCCCTTCTCTGACAAAAAGCAATGCAATTAGTTCCCTTAGTTTTTGCTACATGATCTGACTTTTCCTGGGTGCCCTTTCACATCTCTCTCTGAGCCCTAGTGACTCTGGAAAGTTTCTTGCTTCCAATGTGCAAGGTTTTCAGGTTTTAATGTGGTTAGCAAACCAGTTCTCAAACCCTCTGTCTTAACAGACTTCTATTTTGTTTGCTCTTTCCAGTTCTCCTTAACGCAACAGCTTCTGCTTCTCAGAGAACATCATCTTCCTGGTCTATGTCCTTCTGGAGAAGAATCAATGCTACCTTCACAGTCAGCATACGACACCACCACCAGCTTAATACAGCATTTTCAAGCATTTTTCCCTTTGGCTTCCTCCTGAAGAAGCTTCTCAAAACTATAATGTTTTTTTAAAATTTAATGTTACTGTAGTTTATATTTTTCTAAACATCTTTGCTCAAACAAGGTTATTGGAACACAGTCACAAAAGCAGCGCTGATATACATAAAACAAGATTCTGTATGCTGCTCAGGACTCATCTCGGAGCAACTTCTCTACTACCTGAAGGAATAACTTCATGTCTGAAAAACCAGATCACAAGGGGATATTCACCCAGCCAGTACAGGGATAGTTTTCAGTTAAGTATTTTGCCCATGTAGCCTCTATGATCTTCATAAACACTTGTTACTTCTTAAGTCAGGACTGTGATAGTATCTTAATCATTAGGAACAGAATTTCAATTTGCAGCACGTGATGTATATGCAGATCTAAGTAACATCTTAACTCTTGTTTTTTAAAAAACAAACTTCCTTCAACATATAGCATGAGTCCATTTTCTCAGTCTCCTTCTGGCTTCATAAAGAACTTGGGCTCCCACAGCATCCCAGCACCTAGCTATCTCGTATCACATTTTAAGATGCCTATTATACTACTTTCCTAGCAAACACAGGCATTTTAAGTGACTTTTTCACAAGCCAGTTTCACTACATTTATAGAAGCACTGGGAACAAAGCTTGGTGAAATAACTGTACTCTTAATGCAAAGATTAGAATGCAGGGATGCAGAAGAGAGGCTATTTGTACTTGCCACACTATTCAGCTTGCTAATTTTAACAACATTAGTGAATGGTAGGTTGCTCCAGGCTATTGCTAAGCACAGTAAACATCCACTGCTTACAGCCTGAACTATGCAACAGAATTGACACCTTTTGTTTACCAAAAATTTATCCCTTTTACTGTTTTAGGAAAGGCAGACACTTCTAGTCTTCAGGTTAAAATAATACTCAGGAGACATTCTCAGACTTCTGTAATGTTTTTCCTTAAGGCAGGTTTCTAAGAAAGGAGATCATTTACTTTACTCATCACTTACTGTATTTACAGCTATCATTACATACAACATTGACTTGTTACTTCAAGGGCTAACTTCAATGCAGTGAAATGAAATTCTCAAAACAGCATCAACAAACTACAAGGTGAGTAAAAAGCTACAGAGACTTTGTTCCCTCAAGTAAGCATCCTGTTTCTTTTCAACATCATGTCTACACTACTAAGCACATTAATTTATTCTAAA